AGGATCCGAGTACTGTCATTTATTTGACCTCACCATGTCAAAGTAACTAAGCAACTCGATTTACGCTCCGTGTATCTGGAAGCCCTGATGCTGCTTCCCGTGGCTTCGCTGGCGTAGGTATAGCATTGAGTCCTAGGGTGGAACTAGCTCTCTTAGACTGGATCCCAGTAGACAGTCGTTTGTGCGCTGTTCGACTAAACGGAACAGTAAGGACTCGGAAAGATAGGGACACTCTTCGTTGCCTCTTCGTCGTCTCTGCCTACTCTCCCACTGACTGCAGCTCAGATGATGTGAAAGATGAGTTTTACAGAAATCTTTTCGACCTTCTCCGAAAAGCTAGACGTTCAGATGTAGTAATAGTGGCTGGTGACTTTAATGCTCAAGTAGGTAAACTAAGCGAAAAGGAAAGACACCTGGGTGGATCTTATGGTGTCGCGGCTCGAAGAACAGATAACGGTGACCGTCTGTTGCAGCTATGCTCAGATAACCGCCTGTTTCTTGCAAACACTAACTTTAAGCATAAGGAAAAACATCTTTTAACATGGCGACCCCCTAATTCGTCCCAACGCTGGACCCAAAAGATCACATTGCTATCGGTCACCGATGGAGGGGCTCGATAGAAGACTGTCGCTCATTTTGGTGCACATGCTTAGACTCAGATCATGCTCTAGTGCGAGCGCGTATGTGTCTACTCCTTACTGGACGTAGGAAAGATGTTGCAAAGAAACCCCTTAGGGTCCTACTTAATGATAGTCAAGCTAAGAATATATTTCAGGAACAACTAGAAAAACAGTTAGGCAGCTATGTAACTGATGCTCACCCCGAAGTAGCGTGGAATGACATCCGAAAGGCTGTAAAAACAGCAGTGATGTCTGCAAGTACGGTAAATCATAAGGTTAGGGAGAAACACTGGATCTCAGCAGCATCTACCGCACTGATAGATGCTCGAAAACTCATTCCATCTGGCTCTGAACATAACGAAGAGCGGAGTCAGCTTAAGCGTAAACTGACCAGAAGCCCACGCAATGATCGTGAACAATGGTGGGTAGCGAAACAAGAGAGATGGAAAAGGCAGCGGCAATAGGTAACAGCAGGTAACTGTTCAGACTTGTTAAGGAAACCGGTATTAGGAACCCAACTGTTAGCGAAACAATCTCAGAGAAAGATGGACATATTATTCATTCTCAATCCAGGAGATTGGATCGATGGGCAGAATACTTTAGGGATCAGTTCAACTGGCCTTCAGCCACACTTCGGTTTCCCACGATCCCCAGTCGACCTGAATGGCAAGTTGATGTAAGTCCTCCGACTCTTTACGAAGTTGAAAAAGCTATAGGAAATCTGAAGCGAGGGAGAGCAGCAGGCCCTGACAGGTTTACCCCTGAGATTTTTAAGGATGGCGGTCCAGTATTAGCAGCGAGATTGACTGAGGTCTTAGGTAGAATCTGGGAACTGGACGTAATCCCATCTGACTGGTCTCAATCACTGATTGTGCCAGTCATAAGAAAGGACAAAAGTCCTATTGTGACAATCACAGAGGAATTAGTTTGACTAATATAGTGTCTAAAATATTAGCTTCAATAATACTTCGACGTCTAACCAAACCTCGTGAAGAGCAGACTAGAGAAAACCAGGCTGGTTTCCGACCTGGACGTGGTTGTATAGATCAGATATTCACACTACGTCAGATTCTAGAACATAGACACACATTCAGAAGCCCCACAATGGTAGTATTTCTCGACCTTAAGGCGGCATTTGACTCAGTTGATCGTGAGGTTCTATGGTAGTGTTTGTTACTGAAAGGAGTACCACAGAAGTACATTAACCCTATAAAGGCTCTCTACTCGAACACAACTGGTCGAGTGAAAGCTTATGGCGAACTGTCATCAGAACTGATTACCTCAAGTGGTGTTCGTCAGGGCTGACCACTTTCTCCATTCCTGTTTAACTTTGTCGTTGACGTCCTTTTAGAGATGACACTTTCCTCATTTAAATTTCCAGGAGTTGAACTTTTACCGAAAGATTCACTTGTTGACTTAGAATATGCCGATGACATAGTTCTATTTGGTGAAGACACTGACAAAATGCAGTCTGCTGACCACTCTAAGCACCAATGCAAGCATGTTCGGCATGCGATTTTCTCCCTCGAAATGCAAAGTGTTGCTTCAGGAATGGGTTGCATCGGCACCCGAACTAGTGATAGGGAGTGAAGTAGTTGAGCGTGTGCCCCCAAATGCCCTGGTACGGCCGAGAGTGGGGAAAGTACGCTCTCCCTCTCGAAATGCTCTCACATGGCCATGCGTATATAGCCTCTGCCAGGGAAGTCCTACTCACTGCCTTCTCGTGGCTGGGGTGTTGTTTACAAAAATGAGAGGACGAAAAGCGAATGTCTGGCGCTTTAACCGGACCCCAAACCAATGGTGCACATGGGCTAGCTCCAGTATCCTGCGGGAACAAATGGCGTATGAACCAATCGTTGGTCAGCGGCTGGCTACCATGGGACTGCATCTCCTCACGATGCTCCACTGTCTTGTGGGTCAGACGTTCAGGTCAAAGGCTCGGGGTGTGGCCCCTAAGAAAACCACCTGCTTCGGTTTGGGCACCCGGGCAGTATCACAGCCCTCACACAAATCAATTGAGATTTGTGTGGCGCATATGTATTTGGTGCCTCCCTGTACCTATACTTATGTGTTAAAATAAAAAAAAGTTGAGCTTGTCGACCGCTTCACTTATCTTGGAAGTCTCATCAACCCTTGTGGTCTGGTGTGACGAAATCTCAGCACGGATACAGAAGGCTCGACTAGCTTTTGCCAACTTGCGTGATTTGTGGCGTAGGCGAGATGTCCGTCTATCAACCAAAGGACGAGTTTACTGCGCAGCATTTCGTTCCGTTCAACTTTATGGCAGTGAAACATGGCCGGTAAGAGTAGAGGATATTCGTAGGTTACTAGTATTTGATCATAGGTGTCTTCGAAACATTGCTCGTATATCCTGGGACCACCGAGTAACTCAGTTGTTATGAAATGGGTGCTAGATAAGGATGGCAAATCAATTGAGGAAGTAGTGAAACTTCATCAGTTGAGATGGCTGAGACATGTGTTGCGTATGCCAGACCACCGACTACCCCGACGTGCGATGTTTTATGGTGTTGGAATAGGTTGGAAGAAAGCTAGGGGCGGCCAGACCAAAACATGGCACAAATCCATGAAGTCACTGACAAGTGGTCTGAGTCATGTTGGTAGATGTAGACTACCTGGTTGGGGACCGCGAGATGATAGCAACCGATGGTTAGAGACCTTGAATGACATGGCTCAAAATCGTTTGCAATGGCGCAGGTGCATCCACTCTCTGTGTTCTCTCAAACTCTAATCTTCTGAATTCTTCATGTCCTTTATTTTCTTTCCTAATCTATTCCAATGAACTATACTCCTTAAATAACATCATCAAACCTTAACGTTCCCTGTCACTACTTATACTTTCACTACCTCTACCACTATGGGATTTGAATCGATAACTGAATCTCTGTGCTAATGTGGTATGGCAACTCGAACTGATGTACGTACGTACGAAGTTCCACGTTGTTTCTGACTGACTGAGAACTTGAAAAGTAAGTAATTAAGTAAGTGATATGATGGGAGGAAAAATCAATATTCGATTGATTTACTCAATATGAGTTTTATTCATTATTACATCCTTTTTGATTCAATGTAATGATTACGCAATATAGTAATTGTTTTCTTTCTCGTATGATCTTTTTCTTCTGTATCATATACCTTATTCTTGTATTCCATTGACTATGAACTATACTTAGTACATGATTTGTTATCACTGTGAGTATTTTTCATGTATGTGATTGTATTCTAATTATTAATCAAAATGGGTGTACAATCAATATATAAACGGGTATATTTTCTACTAAACATGCTTCTCTCATTTCTCTGGTTGCTGCAGAATACACTTCGCTCATTTCAAGCGTGGACTTCTCCTTCTAGATAGCTGGGGGTGGGGCGCAGCAATAACTAGTTTACTGGACCTTGATCACCGAATCTCGTTCTCGTTCGCAGATTTACGTGAACTAGTGATAGCTAAACCCTTACAGTAAGTAAGTGAGTAGGTAAGTGAGTAAGTAAATAAGTAGTTATGTAAAAAAGTAAGAAAGTTAGCAAGTAAGTAAGTAAGTAAGTGAGTAAGTAGGTCAGTAAGTAAGTAAGTGAGTAGGTAAGTAAGTAAGTAAGAAAAAGTGTAGGTGAGTGAATAAGTAGGTAAGTAAGTAGGTAAGTGAGTGAGTGTGTAAGTAAGTAAGTAAGTAGGTCAGTAAGTGAGTGAGTGTGTAAGTAAGTAAGTAAGTTGGTCAGTAAGTAAGTAAGTTAGCAAGTAAGTAAGTAAGTAAGTAAGTGAGTGAGTAAGTAGGTCAGTAAGTAAGCAAGAGAGTAGGTAAGTAAGTAAGTGAGTACAAAATTCATTGTAAAATGGGTTTCATTTAAATTAGTAAAATATAAAATAAACAAGTCATTGTGTGTGTGTGTGTTTTTAAATATTTTGTTCTATCAAAATCATAAACAATAAATAAATCGTAGAAAATATAAATTATCCTTTAAAAAAAAATATATATATAAACAAATAAAAGTCTGCAGAGAGGGGGGTTTTGTGTGTGTGTGTGTATGTTTGTGCATAGATATTTGATAGTAATTTTTTTTTAAAATAGTTGACATAGATTACCATAGAAAACTTCGATGTACATTGTTGAAGAGTCCTATGATAGGACGAAACCAAGGGTCCAATATACTTTTTCATGATTTTCCATAATGATCTATATTCAATAGATTTCTAATTTCAACTATTAAAATAAAAATCTGTATTAATTTTAATAAATATTGACAATTGAATAACAATTTCTAATCATAAGGAAATAAGTAGATAAAACAAAAAGAAACGAAAAAAAGAAAAAAAAGAAAAGAAAAAAAGAAGAAAAAACAACAAAAGAAAATTCACAATTTATTCTATGTACAACAAGATTTTCTTTTTGTTGATTGTTTTAATTCTGGTTCTGGAACTGGTAAATTATTTGTTGGTATAATATTCGTTTCATTAGAATTGAATGATGGATGTTTACTAATAAGTTGATATATATCTTAATGAAAAATTAAAAAGAAAAAAAAATAAACTATTATTATTAATGAATATGGAGACTGTAATAGTTTTTGTTTATTCAAAGTTAACTTAATGTGTTGATCTAAATGAGATCGAAAGTGTTTAAGGTTCGAGTCCCGTATTTAGAAGATTATGGACGGGAGCGAGACTGTAAATTATGAATGAGCCAATCAGAAGCGTTTTACCGGTTTCAAGGTCACGGCGCTAACTTCAATGCTTAATGCTAATGTACGGTTGGTTCACAGGGAATTTTGTACAAAACGTGATTATTGAGCGGCTATAAAAAAAAAATAAAACGGCGAGACTATAATTTGTGAACGAATTAATCAGGTATAAGTTAACAGATCTCAGATTTAGGTGCGAAAGCCTTTCATCCATTTGGTTAAATAGATTTCTGGCATTATAGCTGATGTCAGTTTGTGATGAAAACTTTATATATATATACAATTATTGCGAACTGAATAATAAAGGCACCAGTAACACTCGTTGCAGCCAGGTACTAAAATAGATACGGATGATTTGAAGAGCGTACAGATGCCTACATAGGCTTGGTTATGTGCATCGTGTCGTTATCCACAAGTAGCATTTTGTGTACTCAACAACCGGAGTGAACACAAACAATATTGAAGCTATGTGATCGAGGCTGAAAGAGTTTTCATGACTTTATCATGGCTCCAGATACCGACTATTTTTTAACCGTACGGATGATTTCCTCTACTGGTATGCATTACGATTTTAGAACCTCTAAACCTCTTTCTAACCTTGACAAGTTTTTGAACCATGTATAAGAAGTGTATCCAGTTTATTTGCTTGGTTCTTTATAATATATTTTTACTCTATACTGACTGTTTGCTGATTTTGATGGAGTTTTGTTCTCTGACATGGATGGTTTGGTCGTGGAGCTTTCATCGTTTTTCTGAACGACATCATCAGCACAAACTTCAGATGGAAGTGAAGTGTTCGAATTTCTCCATATGCGTTTCACAGCTGGTTCTGTGCACTTGAGCTACAAATCCTCTCCACCATGTGTTTGCTGATTGACTAACATTTCTCAAGGTCACTTAAGATTTATTCAAAGGTCGTCCATAAATTAGTCTCGCCAATTATGGATATGTATTGTTGAGAAGACTTACACTAAGACGAAATAGTTGTCCAGAGTTTAAATAATAATTGTCTAGATTACATCAACGCATGAATTGAATTGTCAAAATATTATGATAAAAAAACGTTTTGAAAGGGATAACTGTATCATTATTTATCAGGATAATAGTAGTATATAATGTAATTTTAAATAAAATTACATTGCCCTGGTACGACCGAGAGTGAGGAGAGTCAGCTCTCCCTCTCGAAATGCTCTCACATGGCCACGCGTATATACCCACTAACAAGAAAGTCCTACTCACTGCCTTCTCGCACCACGGATGTTGTTCATGAACTTGAGAGAACGAAAAGCGAATGTCCAGCGCTTTAACCGGGTTGGTGGATACGAATGAATCGTCAAGGGGCGTTGAAAAACTCTCATTCCAAACCAATGGTGCACATGGACTCCAGAATCCTGAAGGAACAAGTGGTGTAGGAACCAATTATTTGTCACCGGCTACCATGAGACTACATCTCCTTAAGTTTCCCCACTGCGTTGTGAATCAGACCTTTAGATCGAAGGCTCTGGGTGTGGCTCCCTAAGATAACTACCCGGACAGTATCATAGCCCATACATAAATCAAATGACTTGTGTGGCGTACATGTATTCGATGCCTCATTGTACCAATGTTTATATGCTTAAATCAATAAATAACCAATAAAAATTAAATTGTCAGTAAGAGGTTTTTTTTTATTTATTTTAACACATAAGTATAGGTACAGGAAGGCACCAAATACATATGCGCCACACAAATCTCAATTGATTTGTGTGAGGGCTGTGATACTGCCCGGGTGCCCAAACCGAAGCAGGTGGTTTTCTTAGGGGCCACACCCCGAGCCTTTGACCTGAACGTCTGACCCACAAGACAGTGGAGCATCGTGAGGAGATGCAGTCCCATGGTAGCCAGCCGCTGACCAACGATTGGTTCATACGCCATTTGTTCCCGCAGGATACTGGAGCTAGCCCATGTGCACCATTGGTTTGGGGTCCGGTTAAAGCGCCAGACATTCGCTTTTCGTCCTCTCATTTTTGTAAACAACACCCCAGCCACGAGAAGGCAGTGAGTAGGACTTCCCTGGCAGAGGCTATATACGCATGGCCATGTGAGAGCATTTCGAGAGGGAGAGCGGACTCTCCCCATTCTTGGCCGTACCAGGGCATTTGGGGGCGTCAGTAAGAGGTTATGAACATTGTTAAATTTCACTAAAATCATGAACAGATCTAAGTTAGACTATTATTGAAAACCTGAAATCATGAAATAAAAGTTTCATTCTAGTGTAGGACTCTTTAGCAATGGTATGTTCATAATCTCACAAATAGTCATCCATTGCTTCCATCACATGATCTTACTTAGATCAGTTCATGATATCAATAAAGAAAATTCATTCATTCATTCATTCATTTACCTTTGATTGTTTGATTAAATGCTTCTTCAACATTAATTGAATCTAATGCTGATGTTTCCATAAATGATATACCTTGTTGTTTAGCATAACGAGTAGCATCTTCTGTTAATACACAACGTAAATGTTTTAAATCACATTTATTTCCAACTAACATAATTACAACATCATCTGATGCATATTCTCTTAATTCATCTAACCATTTATCTACATTTAAAAATGTATGCGGTTTTGATATATCATAAACAAGAATAGCACCAACTGCACCACGATAATAACTAAATAGTAGATAGATAGATAGATAATAATAATAAACATCATTTTAATAGATTCAGTTAAATAGATCATTGATAGTTAGGGAATAAAGATAATCAATTTGTAATAAGAACAAAAAGAATAAAAGATACCGGCTTGTTTGAATATCTGACCCATTTGTTCCTACCAACTAGATATTTAAAAAAAAAGGGCACCGAATACATATGCGTCACATAAATCATCCGATTTGTATGACAGATGGGATACTGACTGGGTGCCCAGATAGAAGAAGGTGATTTTCTTAGGGGGGGAAGGTCACACACGGAGCGTTCAACCTAAAGGAGCAACTTTAGAAGATACAGTTCTATGGTAGCCGGTGACCAACAATTGGTTCATACGCTTTTTGTTCCCTGAGGATTTTGAAGCCCATGTAGACTATTGATTTGGAATGAGGGTTTTTCAAATCCCTTAAGTGAATCATTCATATCCACCAAACCGGTTAAAGCGCTGGACATTCGCTTTTCGTCCTCTTAATTCCGTAAACAACACCCGTGGTGCGAGAAGGTATTGATTAGGGCTTCCCTGGCAGTCTGTATACGCTTGGCATTATAAGAGCATTTCGAGAGGGAAAGAGGACTTCCCACACTCTTGGCTGTAGAGGCCCCCCCTATCTAGAGGGAGACGTCCAGTTACAGAAGAGGGGAAGTACATTCCACAAGCATCCAGAAGCATGGACATCAACAAGTATACAATTCAAGCGTATACACATACAGCATAAAAAATATCCTTGAGAAAGGTCACAAAATAGAATATTAAAAGAGACAATGAACCAATGACATTTAAGGTCCTGTCAAGTGGAAAATACAATCTGTAGGTAAAAACGGGTGCAAGAAATTCAAATTTCCAAAATAAGATGTCTGCCAATTGAGTTCTGGGGATCTATCATCTTCAACAGTTTATTTTAAAGGATAAAAATTTCTTCCTATGAAAGTTACAAATAAACTACATCTTGTAAAAACTCATTCAATATTTCATTTCAGTCAGTCAGTCAGCTACAACGTAGGATCAGGCACATATAGGCATCAATCCAAGTTGACATACATCATTCATTATAACACAACAAGACGATCATCAGATTCATAAAGTAATTACTTCAATAGCAGTAATATATAGGACAAATATTTCGTACAAGGATTTGTTCGTAGAAAGGAGGGTAACAAAATAATTTTAATATCAAAGTTTAACAGAAGATAGAAAGTGTATACACGTATGCCATTGTGATCGATTCTGAGCCATGTCACCAAGTCTCCAACCATTGGTTACGATAGTCACACGAACCCCAACCAAGTAGTCTGCATCTACCAACATGGTTCGGAATAGAAGTTAGTGACTTCAAGGACTGATGCCACGTTTTCGTTTGGCCGCCCCTAACATTCTTCCAACCATTCCCAATACTAGTCAGCATTGCGCATCGTGGTAATTGGTGTTTAGGCATACGTAGCACATGGTCCAACTAATTCAGTCGATCAAGATTAACTTGATTGTCCCCACCTGTTTTCTGTTCACTACAATAGTGATTAAAAAAAGTGTGGCGCATATATATTTGGTGTCCCCCTGTACCAATATTTATGTGTTCAAATAAATAAATAAATAAATGTCCTACTGATATCGACAGATATAAGTGGTATGTATCATCAATCAAAAGTGAAATATTTGGCGGCAGACGGTTAAAAAGATTGAAAATAAAGACAATGAGAACAGAGAATGGTTGCTGTGGAAAGGAAGGAACAACAAAGTTTAAGACGATTGATTGACATTTTGAAAAAGGAAGTATCAACTGTATAATTCTCAGATTTGATTAAGATGTTCTGTACTATTGTATTCCAATTCATACAGCTGAATATACTTACCTCTATTTGTCAATGTTTTCACCAAAACTAGAACCAAGTGTAGTCAACGAGAACACCAGTAGGGACAATCAAATGTATTTGAACATAAATTACAGTATATCTTAGTAAAATCTGAGAATTATACAGTAAATACTTAATTTGCAAAATATCAATCAATCGTCTTAGACTTCACTGTTCCTGCATATTTTCATACCAATTGCTTTCTGTTCCCGTTTTTTTTTTCCTTCTCGACCTTATGCTGTCAGACATTCTAATCCTCAATATCGTTATATACTAATTATGTCGATATAAGTAGTACACACCACACCAGTACCATTTACATAGGACAAAAAAAAACGAGTTGATCAATGAATCATACATTATAATTTTACAGGATTCTACTACTCTGTTGTTGATATTAAGAACTATAATTGACTAGTCAGTATAGAAATATGATACTGGTTGTTATTATATGGGGTGTGCACTGCTGATCTCAACCATTGAAATTAATATAATATCCACAAAAAACCTCTTCTGATATGAATCAACATATGCTCATTAGTGACTGTCTTCAAGAGGTATTTCCTAAAGTTCTAGTAAGAAGCAGTGATCAGTGGAATTAAACCGGGTCTATTGTAAGATAATGGTGAATGTAAGCGCTTAATTTCGTGAATTGGTTGAAGTTAGACATTGACACCATCGGATGCCTGCCAGCTCGGTGGTCTAGAGGTTAAGCGCTCATGTGTTAGACTAATACGTCCTGGGTTTGAATCTCGCGAGGCGGAATCATGGATACGCACTACTGAAAAGTCCCACAATAGGACAAAACGGCCGTCCATTGCTTCTAGGTTTTCCATGGTGGTCCAGCTTCAATTAACTCATGATCTCAACCATTGAAATTACTATAATATCCACAAAAACCCTTCTGTTATACAGATTTCCTTCAGTAAACACACACATACATACATACACAGCTTTTGAGTACAATAAATGGAATAGTAGTCAATGTCATATGCATTTTACATCCAAAACTCAATTATTTTACGACATTTTATCAAAGGAGTTGTTTTAAAAGTGAACTAATTTGTCTTTAAGTCTATAAATTGTTTTTTATGGTCCTATATTTGACTCTAGTAAGATCGGACAAATGATCATTATAGAATGATTGCTTTCGGGATACTTACTTACACCTGTTACTCCCAATGGAGCATAGGCCGCCGACCAGCATTCTCCAACCCACTCTGTCCTGGGCCTTCCTTTCCAGTTCTATCCAACTTTTGTTCATCTTTCTCATGTCTGTCTCCATTTCTCGGCACAGATCCGCCTGGAGCCCCCCTGGGGCTACTGCCGGTCCCAAGCCCGAATAAACCGGGAGGGTTGGGCATGGGATTAGCGACCGCATCCCGTAGAAAATTAACTCGCTGAAAAAACACTAACACTGTCGAAACACATCATCCTAATTATTCTTGTATATTATTATCTACTTAATCCATATTAGTGAATAACGAAATTAAATAAGCCGAATACGAGAGGATTTTTGAATACCTATATTTTGTACACTCATTGATCTGGATAGGAAATGAAAGGAATGAAGCGAAATGACATGCGGTGGAGAAGGCATGTGAGTCAACTCCCTTTAATCAAGCAATAATCGATATTTATAGCTGGATACAAATAGGTTAGAGATATGTGATAAATAGAATAAGAAGTATACACATATACACACATACGCTCATATAAAAACAATCAGGGTTGATAAATGAATAATTAACAAGGTTCAAACGTAACTCAAGAAGAATGGATAAATTGGCCTGTTCAAGAAGTTAGAATAAGTTATATGGGCTTAACATAGTAACGAATACTACAATGTCAACAATTTGATTAAAACCACATAAGAACCTTAAGGATATCAATCAATATATATAAAGGGTTGAAACTTTTTGGAAAGTATTACTTTCATTCTAAACAAAATAAAGGGCTCTAGTTTAACTGTTAAAACAATTCATTCTTTCAACATATCCACGAAAAGCAAAAAAAAAAAAATTGAAAAAAGGCAAATAACTTCGGAAATTTAAAGAACAAAGAAGAATAATTCAGTCAAACAGTTAGCTACAACGTAGGACCAGACACACCTATAGGCATCAATCAAAGTTGGCATATCTCACTAGCACAACAAGATGAACACCAGCTTCATAGAATCAGTTACTTCAATGGTAGTAATATATAAAACAAAGATTTTGTATAAGGATTAGTTCGTAGAAAGAAAGGTAATAAAATAATTTTAATATTAAAGTTTAAGGGAAGACAGAGTGTGTATACACCGAAGCCATTTGTGATCCATCCTGAACCATATAACCCAGATTATCCAAACATTGGTTACGATAGTCGCCCAGACCCCAACCAGGTAGTCTACATCCACAACATGGGTCAGACCAGAAGTCAATAACTTCGAGGACTGATGCCATGTTTTTGTCTGGCCGCCCCTAACTTTCATCTAACCATCTCCTATACTAGTTAGCATTGCGCATCGTTGTAATCGATGTTCAGGCATAAATGAAGATTCACATGAAGAATGAGGCAAACATTGACCTGAATTAATTTCAAGGGATATGAAAATTCAGTTGGATCTGTTGATCTTAGAATTAAATTAGAGTTGATGGGTGATGGCTAGAAATGGAGTCCAGGACGCGTGTTTCATCCTATTTGGGAGTCGTCAGCTGGATTTACCTACATCTAAAAGTTGACGTTCACTCCAGGACTCCACCTTTTTTTATAATCCTTATAATTTAAGGCAATTCGTACAGGATGCACATATGCCAATATGAGACTGGAAAGAACCAAGTAAACAATACCAAGTGAGTGTAAAATTCACCCCATTGCACAAGCAAATTGGCTATCAGGATTCACTAGCTGAGTGGATAACGCGATGGTGTTTAAAGCAAACGGTACTGAGTTCGAGTCTCAGAGTGAACATCAACTTTGAAGTGCAGGTACATTCAGCTGACGAGTCCCAAATCGGCGAAACATGCGTCCTGGATTCCACTACTAGCAACTATCCATCCTTGTATGTGATGCTTGTGAATTAAGGCTATATCAAGGCAATACGTAAAAATACCGATAAGAGACTGATTATT